CCCCCTTTTTCACTGGGATAAATTAGGCTTTTGAGTGTAATATTTGTATTATAAATGTTGTCTCAGTTTAAAATGTATCAGTATGTGAAGGAGAGTGGTGTACAAGTAGGAGTGAGGTACCTGTAGATGTACCTGTAATACATCTGCATGTAGTGAGTATACTGATATTATATAGGACAAATGATGTACTTCTTGATATAAATTTTGCATCACTGTATGATATTTATGGGTGCAGTGCCTTAATATTTGTGAATTTACATATATGTGAGACACAGTTAATTGGTTTCCTATTTACTTGATATGGACTTTATCTTCTGGAACCAATTAATATCGTCTTTATATACATTTGGCACTGCACCCATTTTCTTGTGAATAATGTTGATTTCTATAATAAATGTTAACTGGCCTTTTTTGTCTGGTTTTGTTATGGGCGGTTGGGTTGATAATTTACTATCTATAATTTGGGATGGTATTTTACAGAAAGTTGATCTAAACTTCTAAAACATCAGATTAAGTAACTAATCTGTAACAATTTCTCAGGTCCCTGTGAGTGTGTGATGTACCTCACCAGAAAATATACAGTTTCTACATACATACTCTGGTCTCCAAAAGAATAACAATTCGCCAATAAATGCATATATATATATATACGACCAATATCAAAATTCAAAACATCAGACAGTAAGCATATAGGCCAGTATTTCACCATTATGAAAAAGAAGAATCGGGACTTACTTTCCAAATCTCAGTCCATGAGGCCAAGGCCTAGGGTTGACAGCGCGGGAACGTTGAGCTCGTGCTACGTGCATGTGATCAAGTGCATCTCATTGGCCGAGAAGTCGACAGGTCACGACTGGAACGAGGGTGTCATTGAGGGGTGTAGTTATGGACAGGTATTTCTGCTGAAGAATATTATATAGACTTTGTATTAGTACTTAAGTAAATAAACACAAAAATTCAGCGTCTTTCATTAGAATCACCACGGTCTTAGATATCTAATTCCGTGGACTGTTTTCTACTACATATATATATGATACATTAAAAATGTCTTGTCCCTATACGAACCCCAGCAAAGGTTTGATACGTCAGGAAATCAGTGTCAGAGACGTATAAGTCCGTGATACTATATAGGTTTCTAGTTATTTTTTCATGGCACTCATCACAGAACCATTCCTTGCTGATTTTTTTTTAAATATATTAAAATACTAGCAAATGACTAATTAGACTAAACAAATCAGCAAAGAATGGTTCTGTGATGAGTGCCATGAAAAAATATATATTTATATATCCCGAAATTTTCCCAATTGTAACATCTTTATTGTATACAAGGAGATCAAAAAAGTAGACAATAAGGAGAAAACACAAACTCCAATGGTAAAGAATGCATTAAAAACGGGTACAAAAGGTAAATACAATATACTGAAGACAGTATTAAAAGGTGTTAGTCGTGTACGACAATAAGGAAGGTACCATTGGTCTGCTTCAGTAAAAGGGAAAATATACATGTTAAAATGTTTGGTTTGTTTAGTTTAGTTTAGCATTGTGTGACGACCTTTGGGAGGCTGCGATATGTTCGTGCGTGTCTCCCTGTGATTGTCGACTTTATAGTGCTACCTCACTGAAAGTAGAGCGATCGTAAATTGTGTTGAGATCCAGGATTCGAATCCGGGTTTTGTATAATCGTCTTTGCAAATTTGTTCATAAATATTCCGCAAGATATCAGTTTCTTTTCGGAAATGATTCATTAAAACTATTATCATATAGGTAAATATACTTCCTTTTAAGTCACAATTTCCGGGAGTGGTACGAGGATCCTTTAGCAAAATCAAAAACGTAATAGAAATGCTAAGGTCACACAAAGGTATCACTGACAGAGGAGGGTCAAAGAAACTGTCACCGACTAAGTATACGCATTGCTCATTAAGATTTTTGTTACTAACAAACAATACCCGGAAAAGACAGTGGATGAAGTAACAATCTGGGACGGACTGAAAGTTTCACTACACATTTTCCTGGTATTGTAGCAAGTGTTCTTTCATAGATATAACGGCGAAGACTTCCGATTTCAAACTGATCAGTTGCCGCTTCATGTCCCTGCCTAATTTTGTTTGAATATTTGTGCGATATTATTCGTTTTCGCCTCGCCTCTTCTAGCAAACTAACGCAAGAATTATAATTAATGTCTCGCAAGAGATATGTGATTTACAGCAGCAACTGGAATATTCCAGCCTGTTATATTATATACACTAACTGGTAAATTTAATTTAAACATATTTTATTGTAATTTATATACAACTGGTAAAGCGTCCCATGTCTGCGATGCACCCTCGATATATTCCAGGGGTAATGTACGCTCAATTTCGCTGCACCCCTGGAATAATATGTCTTAGCAAAATCGAAGGCTCAGTGGATAAGACGAGAAGACTAGTAATAGTTCGATTCTTTGACGTACACCAAAATAATCTCTCGGTCGCGTAACAGTAAAATTGACAGGGCTTTGAAGACGCGTGTCGCTCCTCTGTACTCTTCAAAGAAGGATATCAGCTTAGCGATTGGTCAGGTGTTTTTTTACCCGAGACTAACCAATAGCTAGCAGCGTGCACGTGCTTGCAGTTTTGTTATGACATATTCCATGGGTGCAGAGAGCGTAAGTGAGCGTATGTAACCCATGGAGTGTTAAGGATGGTTATGAAGATATCGTATAAGAAAGTTGACATTGCATTTACGTGTCAACAACTGGCACCTAATCATTCCATGTCTTTTAACAAAGAATAACTGTCATAACATGGTGCAGTAAAACGAGTTTTTTTTTCGCTTTCTCAACACATCTAAAACTCCATCCGTTCGAGAAAAGAGTAGATGACTGCTGTATTCCATGCATGATTGTATGAGGCGACTAATGTGTCTCTCACTTGCAATCAGAATTTGAGGTGGTTTCTCCCGTCTTTTCTGTTCAGTGTTCAGCAAGGATAGGTCAAGGTCATTCTATTGAGGAAAGTTTTATAGTACCACATCACAGCATGCTATTGGCCAAATACCATCACCATGTGTCTTTGTTATTCAAAGGTTGTAATACATTTGACCCATGTGATCTTCAACGTAGGTCAAGGTCATCATTTGAGGAAAGTTTATAGCACAATATCCCAGGTACCCAATGACCAAATATCATCACCTGGGCCCCTGGTTATTCAGAAAGTTGTGTAAAGATTTTTATATATTTAGCCACTCTGGCCTTGAAATAAGGTCAAGACCATGTATTCGAGGAAACTTTATAGCACTCCATCCCAGGTACCTCCTGGCTAAATATCATAACTCTAGGCCTCTTGGTTATTCAGAAGAAATTGTTTAAATATTTTAACACATTTGACCCTTGTGGTCTTGAAAGTAGGTCAAGGTCATTATATTTGTGGTATTTTATAGCACTCTATGCCAGGTACCTACTGGTCAAGTATCATCACTTTAGATCTTCCAGGTCTTAAGAAGAAGTTGTTCAGACTACCAACTACTGACACTGTCACACACCATACCATAAGCTCACAGGCACTTCGAAAAATAATATCATAATGAGTAGACTCTGGGTCTATATTAGTTGTGATGAGTTATAATTAGTACTATACACTAGTAGTACATCAGTGGAATTTGAACTTCAGTCAGGTTTATTACTGGTCAAAGAAAGCTATATTTGCGTAGAACTTGTCAGTACTGAGTAGTTGTATAGTTGCATGTTCAAAACTTGAACTGTTATGCAAATTATGTTTTTCAGACAAAGTAAAACATCTGATATATGTCTGTGTCATGAAACATTTGCATGCATTGATCACCACCCTAGCACTGGTGCATTTACTGCAAAAATGTCCTTCTAATGTCCATTGGTATTGTAAACTGCAATTACCAATAACCAACATTTTCTTGTACATACTTAAAACTATGTAACCAAATTTTATTTCACCAAAAAGGTAAACAAAAACAACTTATTTCAATTTGTCTTTATTTTTGAATTCTTCGAAGGTGTAGAAGGTATATAAAATAACGAAATCATATTGCATTATCCGTTTTCATAATAGAATTCCATCGTTGATGTTTCCTCTAAAACAATACAAGATATATCTAGATTGTACAAAAATCTATTGTAGAACCTGTTTTAACAGACAACAAAGGTGTAATAAGGATAATACTATGCAACATCTACCGTTATAGCTTGAAATTTTATCTATAGCATTCTGATCAGAAAGATTACTGGAATTGAGTAAAATATCTTTATTTATGAGTTTTCCTCAACTACAGCAATGGTTTCCAATGAAACAACTTAAATTTCATAATTTTCTACGGGGTAGTGGTACTCCGGTATCCTCCCAAATTAGGACGCTTACATCCAGCCCAGGCCAACAAGAGTAATTAATATAATTTGGAATACCTTGTTTCATAATTGTTGTAAAAAAAATAAAGTTCATATCATATTATGCCGGACTGATTCTTAAAGTTGAGAGGTAAGATAACTGGGACATTTTAGGGGTCTTATATGACATTTACATATTAATTTCAGGCTTCATGATACAAAATGTTGATTTTTTTATTTCTTTATGATCGTAATTCTTGCAAAGCAATGGTCTACATAAACTACTTTTTTTAAATACTTTTCATAGACCGACCGCAATAATAAACATACACATTCATAAAGTCAAAAAGCAATCATTCTTAAATTAAATAAGATAAATAGTTACAATGAATGAAGATTACACATCATTTAGTATACATTGATACACAATTCAATAACTGAAAGTTCAACATTGTAATACAGTAAAATAATTAACAAGAGGCCCAAGGGCCTTAGCGGTCACCTGAGTTATATCATAGGTACTGGTAGCTTTATTTTATTGTTTAGATGTGATGTGGAAATCAGCATGTAAACTAAGTGAAATACAATACTTGTCATGTCATCAATGGATAAGAATTTGAAAATATTGGTAAATGTTCCCTTTGGGGCCCCGCCCTAGCCCCTGGGGATGGGGCAGGAATCCCAATTTTACAAAGTAATACTCTCATTCACCCAAGATGATTCTGACTAAGTTTGAGTAATTTTCTGCTGAAAAT